AGAGAGAGAGAGAGAGAGAGAGAGAGAGAGAGAGAGAGAGAGAGAGAATATGATTCACATTCATCTATGGATTTTCTCTGGTCCTTTTACACTAATCTTGTAACAAGTCATGTTGAGAACTTTGATAAATGGTTGCCAGGAATGCTGTAACTTCAGCATTCAAATATCCTTAACAGCTTGTGCAACAGCCACATTCTCATGGAAGTATCAGAAAAAGGGCAAGATGGTGAGCCATCCAACTCAGCATAGATTACAGGTCTTCAGCATGCATTGAGGTGGATGTACACTGAGCCACCCAAATACATGACAAGACAGCGCTGGTGTCAAATCGCAGCCACAGTCATTAGGGCCCTAGTTACAGCCACGTTGTAAAAGGCAAATAGGGTGTCAGAGGACACCGGAGCTTGTTGCGAGGGTATCAGGCGGAGGTGAAGCTTTAGGGAATTTGGCATGGGGTGAAACAGCTTGCATCTTGTAACAGCAGCCATGTCCATTGAGTCCTTAAGACCTGTCACTCAACAGTCATCCGAAAACTCCACAGTAAACATTATCAATGGTTTATGTGCAAACTATCCCTGTAATACATTATTAAGTAGGTATGTTTGAAGACCATTAAATCCCTCTGCATGTATTAATAGGTATTAAAATGTGTATCTTAACCTGTTATTTATCCGATTCTTTGTTTCTTTGACTTATTTTTCTTGTTTTAATATAGCTGGTAAGTCTTTGCTACCTTCACTGTAGCATATTGTATGGCATTTTTGTTTCTTAGCCCACTCCAGGAACAATGTTGAAAAGCCAATCATGTATCTCGGAATGGGAAGATACTCTGCCTCCACACCCCATTTAGTATCCAGGCAGCCTGTGAAGAGGTGTCTGGCCATCACTACTAGCAGGGTAAAGAACGGAATCATGAGTATTCTGATGAGTTATGTGCCAGGCATCCCACCTCCGTGGTTTCTTATAGGCAGAGGTGCACACACCTGGTTCATTTCACCAAAGGGAGAAGATTTCCATCTACAGGTGTCTGAGATGAGTGGCACAGCCTATTCATTTCAACAAGACCTCTGCGTACACAATACCACACAATAAGCAACTGGGTCAGCATGGTGGGCAACTGTTTTTTAATAGAATTTATAAGGTCTGGGAAATAAACTAGGTATATCATCATGCATATAACTAGTGCATTACTAACTTTCCAGTGCGTTGTAATTCAGGTCCTGAGTGCCCTCCGAGTGGCTCTGCATCTCCATGAGCAGCGGTTCCATTTGGCACACCTGGAATCTTACGTTTCTCCTGAATAACAAGGAAGATATGATTTGGTTTTGTTCCATTCCATACTCTATTATGGCCCATAAGGAAATGGTTACAGAACTGCCCATCATCTACCATCCTGTGCAATCTAAAATCCTCAACAATTGTTTACACAAAAATCTTATGATCTTTGCTCATTCTGGAAAGAGACAAGAGGGTAAAGACAGAGCTGAAAATAAAGAAAAAAGTTTGACGTTAAGAAAGTGTATCGCATTGTTTCAGTCACTTAACATTTTCGAATGCCACACTGAGCAATGTGACGTGTATACCTACCTGAGATGGAACATTTTTGGGGGGCTCTATACGAATTGTTGGGTCCCACTCTCCAGGGGGAAGAACAGTAACCTGATCGAGAAACTCATCAATCCCAGCAACCAAGTCACTACGATCTTTCGCTTTATATGCAACGTCATGGAATACCTTTCAGAGTAAGAATACAATAGATGAGGTTTTGCTTATCGAGATGAAACAGATAAACTTATGAATGTAAAGCTGGATGATTTTAAATGAAGTATGAAGCTTATTTCCTTGCAAGCGCAGAAAGCATGTTTCAGTATACAGATTTCTTTGTTTTTTCTTTTAAATGGCTTTGAACTTGGATTGAGATTCATTTTACATCCTGCTAAAAATAACAGCTTTGCTTAAAATTTATGCAGAATAGTCACCTGCCATTAAAATTTTAAGCAAACCATTTTTGGTATAGCTGGACGTAAAATAAATCTGAGTTCAGCAGAGAAGGAATTAAAACAAGTCACTTTTAAATATGATTTAATCAACAGCTGTTAATAGATAAATACCTCATCTGTCATTAATGTTCCAATTGACCTGCCAATCTCGTGGTACTGTTGGCTTTTTCCTAGGGGTCCCAGAAGAATAAATAAAAATCTATGAACAAATGGAAAACAAAAATATTCAGTGAACATTAATTTAATAAAACCCTAATATTTGAACTAGGAGAATAAACATTTGCATTGTGGCTGAACTACTCCTGCATTACAGAACCTCACGGAACTACTTCAAAAATGGAAAATGTCAAGGTAAAAGATTGTTTTAAAAGGACGCCTCAGATACAAAGTTCATCCAAGCGTGGTGGTGGTTGTTTTTTAACAGGCCTGTTCTGAAGTTTCACTCACCCTTCTATGTGCAGGAAGTTAAGGAGGCGTTGGGCTCATGTATTTCCTAGAACAAAAAAAGGCTGCTGCATAAGTACATATGATGCTCCATTGCATTCTCTGCTGTAGATCACTGAAGAATCTACTGAGAGGCGGTGCTGCACAAAATCTCTCCCAAGCAGTTTTTATTGCGAATAATTCAGCTTTCCTTTGATAAAGATTCCTCACAATACACTGGAAGTCATATCTACTGGTGCAGCTGTTGCCTTGGTTCTTGGAGTTTTCTGTATCTCTTACTGATCCTCTCCTTTTGTGCATAAGCATTTCTTTCTAGCTTTCCTCATCACATGTAATGTGATGTCAGCCCAGGAGATAATCTGAATGCCAGATGCACTAATACTGAAGTTCAAGGGGGATCACTGGTTCATAAAAAGCTGCTTTATACTTGTTCACACAAAACACAAACACAGTATTTAATGCATGGTTTGTCGCCCTACCAGGGATTGTCCAGATGATCAAGTAATCATGGTTTGCTAGAGCAATCCTTGGGTTACTTATTTTATATCACCTCTGTATCCTACTGAAACATCCCATGATTCTGGATTCACATATAATTGCAGTTCAGGACTTAAATCAAAATTCAAAACTCAACAACAAACCATGATTTCTCTTTCCAGGGTGTTTATGGTTAACAAACCATGGTTTGTTTGCATAGATGGGTTCACACATCACAACAATCCAGACCACAACATGAAGGGATACATGAAGCATGTTAGTGCTACATGCAAACCAGGTCAGTAAGTCAAGCACGGGTCAGTCTAGCTTAGTACTGCTCTTACTGATTGGCAGCAGCTCTCCAAAGTTTCAGGTAGGGTTCTTTCCTACCTGGAGATGTCCAGGACTGAACCTGGGACCCTTTTACTTTAAAGCATGTGCTCTACTACTGAGCTGAAGTATGGCTTGGATGTGCATTTCCATGTAGAGATTGGGGAGAAGAGTGGAACTGAACACTGGGAAGATTGATTAACATGCCAAGCAGTCCTGCAGAGTTTCTGACAGCATATTCGTCAAGTCTTACGTGCATGTTATGGCTGCCTAACAGGATCTCCTTTAAATCTCACCTGACGTGGAGCACTGCTTGCGTGTAGCGGCAGGCCATGCAAATCATGGACATTTTGTCCTAAAGGGCACGAATCTTTCAAGCCTTTAGTAGCAGTGTGGATAGCAGTGAGCAACAAGTGTGGCGAACTGAGACCCACCAAGACTACTGAAAGTGAAAATGTTTTGGTAAAGAGACTTTCATTACTACCATGCTGACCCTGTTTTTCCCCCCTGTGAACTGCAGGGTTTAAAACAGTGTGGTTAACTCGAATACTTGTATTGTTTTCTTAGTTCTGACTAAAAAATTACCTTGTTGGGATTGGAACTTCTGCTAATCCCGAAAGCAGCACAGCAGGTGACAATCTAACAAAGGCGACTACAGCACGGTCCAAGAATTCAAGCTCACCAACCAAAATGTTTGAGGCTTCGGCTCCTGGAGGGATCTTTTTCATGAAATGCAGGTCAACCTGATCATCCAAAGAAAAGGAATATCATACAGGAAAAAGTACATAGGAAATAGTGAGAGAAGCTAACTGATGTAAAGACTTTTTACCATTCTATTTCACTGGCACACTGAGTATCTTTACAGCACAGAAGAAATTCAAAAGCACAAAGATGTATTAGTAAAGGTGAAAGAACTAATAAATTAACTGATGTGATCATTCAGTGAAAAGCTTAATTGCAGGTTTAAAACACCTATCAGTTAATTAATCAGTTAATTAACCCCTGTGAAATAGAAGCATTTTTGTGTTCCAAGTAATATTTTTGCTGAAGCTATTATCTATTGAGGAAGGGGTGCTGCTTTATGAAATGCTACACGCATTATGGGAATGCATGTTTCCCAATTTTGCCAGTGTCAACAAGGGGGCACATTTAAAAGCTATGGGTCCAATCCAGATAAATGTAATCATGCTTAGACTCCACTGAAATCAATGAAATTAGTTTGGCATGATTAATTTCAATAGAATACCTATTTTTTGAAAATCAAGAAATAGACCAAGGACACTAAATTATTGTGAAAATATAGCACCATCCAATTTAGTTGCCTCTGACTCTCCAGCTTTACCCATGAATGGTTCTGATTTTGTCTTGTTTTAAAAAGCTGATGGTGGTTTTCTTTTGTTAAAGCATAAGAAATGTGTAGGTTTTCCTCTTAAATGTTAAATTATTTAATAAAGAAATATACAAAATTAATGAAGATATGAACTGATTGTTTAATCAGTAAAAATTTACATCAGTGGGCAGGTGTATGTCTCAGTTTTATCTATAGAATGGTGGATAGTATTCCTTTTGCATGGAGAATCTGCAACTTATCCTACTGTATTGTGCCCTATAGTACCAACAGTCAATGTAATAAATTTCCAGCTAGTGATATGGAATTTTCTAAAAAAAAAAAAAAAGTTGAATTAGAAAGCTTTCCAGAAAACATTCCAATATATTAGGGTCATTTGCATTAGAAAAAAACAGCAAAACAAACCAATAGGTTGCTGTTACACAAGACCCAGGTCACAGATGCATTTCAATGACATATATGCATTCTCTAACATACAGTGCTAGGAATAATCAGCTGAGAAGCATTTATTATAATTACAACTCTGCAACTGTCAGGCTTACCTAATCTTGTACCTGCAATTAACATGGTTGTATTTTTATTAATGAAGTTATAAAACAAAGAATTTTCCATGGAAAAGTAAAGCACTGGAAAAATGCCATGGGAAATTTTCCCTCCCACCTCACGGGGCAGCCCTGCCATGAGCTGCATACTTCCAGTGGTGGGTTTCACATGCCCATCTGCCACCCACAGGGCCACCTGCTCCTGCCATTGTGTCTACACACACATCGAGGACAGTTTGGCCAAATGACCGCACATCTTTCCAGCCACTGGCAGCAGTGTGGTTAAGAGAGTGGTGAGCTGGGGACCACAAAGAGGTCACTGAGACGACAGATGCTACATAAAATAATTTTCAGAGGCTTTCATTGCTTCTGTATTAGTTCCTGCTCCTGCTTCTGTGCAGCCCAGCAATTGTGCATGGGCTGCTGCTGCTGCAGCAAAGCAGCCAAGGGGCTCTCTTTGAAGAATCGTTCCTCAGAGTGACTTATCTGGGGAGAGTAGCTCCAGAAAGTGGCTGGGCTGCTGTTGCTTTGCTTTTCTGCTCATGTGGCATATCAAGGGTGGCAGCATTACCCAGCACAGATGTGGAAGGTCCCCAGCACATTCTAGATGACCAGGACAAGTTACATCTCTGCATAGCCAATGCAGACCAGATGGGATGATGATGGGAATTGTTGTCCAGCACACTGGGAGGCCACAGGATTGGAGAAAGTTGATACCTGCTTTCCCTGCCTGTCAGCCGAAGAGCATCTAGAGTTCTCAGCCTAGTAAAGCTGGGCTATTTTCATGCCCCACTATCTGTAGATTGTAGCAGCCACATAATGGTCATAATTGTTTTGCCACATGATGGCACATAATTGACAGACTTCTGTTCTCTCCCCACAACACACTATTTTCAGCCTTCAAGACCAAAGGAGAATTTTCCACCTATGCAACCTAAGAAGGTAAACTGTAAACACAGCTCCCTAATTAGCACTTTCAGATGAGTAATCAAACTGAGAAATGGAAGAGCTCAGAAACCTCTTGATCCCATAACAGTTCCTAGGAAAGCAATTCTGTAACTATGTGGGAGGGGAATAAGAGCGGCTGCATCAGCACTCGGATAAAACAGGGCAGGCGACAACAGCAAAAGAGCAACCATGCTGCATTCATGATCGCCCGCTTTCAAATTCCTGGTGCCTGAAAGATCAAAAATGGCAGCAGAAGAAACCCTATCTTTTCTATTGAGGCAAATGAATAAGGTGAAGATTTATCCAAGCAATCCAAGTACAAGCTTGATATTACGGTCTCACAACAGACCACAGCTGTGAAAACAGTGTTGTACAATTAACAGATCTATTAATAAAAGGGATCCTTAAACATCTAATGGGATATAAACTGGCAAGGATGAAGATACCTAAACGAGGCACTAGACAGGACCAGACTGCTAAATAAACAGCTTGCAAAGCCTGTTCCATATTTAAGCTATATTCTAGAATAGCTGTCATGCTTGCAATAGAACCCAAGTCAAACTCAGCTTTCTGTTAAAAGAAGCAAGTCCAACAAAAACCAAAAGAGTAGCCATACTGCATGGCAATAAGTTACCGCCATTCACATAATGGGCCCTCAAAAGAATTTGACTCTAGAACTGAAAGTAAGCACCGAAGTACAACAGGTAAAGTTATTTAAGGCTTTTATATTTTTCTCTTTGCTTTGCATCATTTATTTCACAGTGGCAACAGTTAACATGCCTGGCATTCATAAACATACTTTATTTGCATTCTCCCCATAATACCTTTCTAAATGTTATGAAGAGGAAAACACAGTGATTCACAAAACATGCTCAAATTGATATCACAGCTTCATATTCCGAGAATTTCAAACTGCAGTATTTCCCCCCATTTGCTTCCTTATTACCAATCTAAACACAAAAACAGTGACCAAATCCAATATAAACTGTTAAAGTGACCATTTTAATGTCTATCTCACAGCCATCTGTCAGTAGCAGTGTGCAATGACTTCAATGGTGTTTACGAAGTTGTTTTTCTTGCAAATGGCTCTGGCACTTAGACAGAATTTAAGCATAATGGAGTTGTCTGTGTCATGAAATCCCTCCCAAAAACTTTAACATCTCCAAAAATTAAGCCCAAACAAGGCCCCTTTTCTCTCTTTTGCCATCTCATTTGCATTTTCCTTTTGGGAAAAGAATTTAAGTTTACATATTGATCCAATACCAAGGAATTATCACTGATCGCTTGAAATGGAACAGTACTTTTCAGGAAGGGATACACCACAGATGGAGGAAAGCATATGTACATGTTTGGAAAGGATTTGGAATGACTCTTGATTGAAAGACTGTAATTGAGGCCTCATCTAATGTGGAGAAAAGGAAGTGCTCTTTTGTGGTGCATGTATAAACTGTGGCGCTCCGTTTCCCTCAGTTTCCACGGATCACATTAATGGCTGATGCAATTCTTAATCGATGAAAGCCAAACTATAGCAAGTTATGAAAAGATGTAAACTGTTGAACATGGATAGTGCTGTCATTTATTGTGTTCTTGTGGCTTTTGTGGGGATGTCATTCACTGCTGAGTGCGATGTTGACCCGTGGAAAGAGAAGAGAGGAGGCACAGGAAGAAACCATGGCGAGGGCCCTTTCTGTGAATTTTTAAGGTTCCTACCACTACTAGCAGCTTTTGATATGAAGTACAAGCATGTCTGAAAAGGGAATCGGCAGCATGTCTGAACCAAATCCATAAATACCTGGCCAGGAAATGAAAGAACCCCTTGAAAATTCACCCCTCATTATATCAGTGTCTTTCCCAAAATCTTAGTCAGCAGGGGGGATTTACTGAAAGTTCATTTATTCAATTTCTAAATGCTATAGAGTATGTTTGCATGGGCACTGGGAGAAAGTGTTCCATCTGACATAATTCACAGATCTGCAAGTTCACGATGTTCAAAGCAAATATATGTGATGCGTGAGGAAGCCCAAGATGTTCCACCAAGGAAGAGCTGATAGCAATTAAAGCCTGACACTCTCTGCCACTTCTCCCTCGGTGGCTGTAGGCCTTGCAACTCCCCTGCTATGAGAGTCACAGAGCAAATGGTGGCAATCCACGTGTCCAGTACATGCAGCCGCCATTTTGAATACGCCACCCTGCCCAGGGGTGTAGTCTGTGAACTCAAACAGTATGGCTGTGCAAGGGTGAAGCAATGCTTGCCAGGTTCTCATGATGCACCACCTGTTTGGATATGCAACCTGGTGTCCACAGCATGTTGCCCAAACTCAGTCACTGCCTTACAAAGTTACGAATCAGTTGCTTTGAGCTGTTGGCATGTATAATTTTTATACTAATATCTCACCTTTCTTCTAAGCACCTTGAAGTGGATGCTTACAAGTTTTTTTCACCATCCCAGCTCCAATTTGTCCTCACAACAAACCTGGAGGGTAGATTAGGCTGAGAAAGAGGGTATCAGACGTAAGGTAACCCAGTGCTGAGTAGGGAATTGAATCTGGAACACCCAGTCCATGATACCATTTTGGTTCATGAAACTGGAATTTCCAAGAAAAGGCTGCTTCAGACCCCTCCCTCTATTCTGCAGGGCACATGGGCTGACGCATACACACATAAATATTTTGACAGGGTATTAGTCTCCTGGTGGAGAAAGGAAAGCCAAGTCCAAGGTCAATGTTGTTTTGTTTCGGTTTGGTTTTTGCTGACGGTATATATGATGGTTTCACAAAGCCTAAATAGCTCTGCATATCTTTCAGGGGGGATTTTCTTGTAATTTTTGTCTAACCCTAACACTTTAATCAATATCTGTTAGGCTGTAGTTCCATATCCACTTACCTGGGAATAAGTCGCAATAACTTCTGTGGGACTTACTTTACAGAATTGAACTGCATATTATGGGAGGTTATATTTGGAAGCTTAAAACCTTATTGCATGTCTTTTTAATGTTATGTTTTCATTCCCTCCCCTTTTATTAGTCTGTTTGGTGTGGCAAAAGACATCAAAGTAGGTGAAGCTTTCTGGGATTTTTAAAAATGTAACATTTGTGTAAGTCCATCTAGAGCAGTTTTCCTCAACTTGGTGCACATGCAGATGTGTTAGATTACAGTGCCTATCATCCCCAATGGGCCATGCAGACCAACACCTCTGAAAGGCACTGGGCTGAGGAAGGCTGTGTTAAAGCATCTACTGTTTTTGTCTACTGCACTGACATAACATGGTTTCGAACCACAACTAACATTTAGAAATCAACTCTGTTCGCAATCACTGTAGAAAGATAGCCAGAGCGGGTCCTCACCTCTCTCTCTCTCTCTTCCTGATGCAGATGTCCTTTTTCATGTCTCTGTTTCATCCCAAATAGACTACTGTTATGCCCTTTTTGTTGGTCTCCTAGTCCCTGCACGCACAATTAACAGACTTCAGCTGGTACAAAATGCTGCTTCTCATATTCGGTCTGGCACCAGATGGAGCAAGCACATAACTAGTTCTGGCTCAGTTACACTGACTGGATGTCACATTCAACAACAGATTCAATGCTCTGCGTGCATCAATTCCCTTAGAAGAGAATCTTGGTTAAAGATATCCTGCTCAGTCCTCATTTGACCCAATTGGCTTTAGCTGAGTTAAACTGCTTGTCCAATCCACATTTAATACAAACATGCTTTATCAATACAGCACCCTTTGGACAATTTTCACTCCAAATACGTTGCGCATTTTCTCAGTAAGCCAAATGTGGGACCATTGCCTTTTCCTTGTCATACGTTGGTCAACCTGGCTATTATGCATGCTTCTCAATACAATATCATAGCATAGCATAAAACGTAGGATTTCATACATGGTTAAAATCTTTCTTAATATTATTTTGCAGTCAAGCATGATAAAAAAAAATCAGTTTGTAGGCATCTGCATAGTTCTATCAGAAAAACAAGCAGGTATAATCCACAATTCATTTACTCCTGAGCCGTCACACCAGAGGCAATGGACAGCCCCAGAGTAAGAGTCAGAGATTAGTATGATACTCAGTTTTCAGGATATGTCATCAGAGGACTCCTTCTCATTTATAAAATAATGACATGGGACTGCCATAACAAGCTACTCCTGGCTCTGAAATGTAGCATGGGACCTTGTGTTTCCTAATGACAAAAAAGTTCCAGCAGAATTGATTTTAAAGCAATAGGAATGCTTAGCATTTTAATCAGGGGTTTTGCGCCTCTGACTGTTGAATTCCATTTTGACTGTTGAATTCCATTTTGGAGACCCTCTAGTATGCTATGCTTATCCAAGTGGTGGTAGAGCAAAAAGCAAAACGAGGCATGACACAAGGGGTGGACCAAAGATTACTACTATATTGCAGCTTTCAGCTCTTACTACCAGTTACTAAGCCTTGGGAAGGCATTCCCACCTGTTATAATTATATTTATTCTGTTGCATTATGTCCCACCTTTTTCTGTCTGATCAGGAACCCAAGGCAGTTTATATAGCTCCATTTAATCTTCAGAACAACTTTATAAAGTAGAGTCTGTGAGTGGCCCGAAGTCACCCAGTGAACTTCACAGCCAAGTGGCAACTAGAAACTGGATCTCTTGGATTCCCAGCCCAATATCCTAACCACCATGCCACACCGGATCCCTACCTTTCAGGGGGAGAAAATGTGAAAAGATATGCAAAATCTAGAAAAGCACCAAACAACTGGTGTGCAGGGGAAAGGGAGTGAGGGCATCTGACAAGATCAGGAGGCCCAACTGGGACCCCAGGCACATTGGTTTTGGCACATGGGACTGAATCTGCACATCTGATATAAACAATGCATTTTGGATTACTGGGAAAAGCCTGGGATCAGAAATTCAGCAGTCAGGAAATAAATTCCATCATGCTGGAGCCCACCTTTTCTTTTCCAAGTTTTTCGCCTTCTCTACTTGAAGATGCCAAGTGTTGACCCTGAGCTGCATATAAAACAGCTGGACAGAAGATAGATCCCCAGATGTTTGGTAGCATGGCCCAGTGGTGAAGAACGTTATTATTATTATTATTATTTTATTAAAACATTTTTATGCCGCCCCATTCGCCAAAGCCTCGGGGCAGCTTACAACAATAAATTAAAATAATTATAATCTTAAATTTAAAAATATAAGCATTAAATTAAAAATACAAAAATACAACTGATGCCCAAACATCTGGAGTCTCTGTTTTCTGCCCACCCTGGCTTTACACCATGGAGATTCTGAACTTGCTGGTGATCAGAAAGGAGTGCAGTGCACTCGGAGCAGCTGCCAAAGGCCCTCCAGGCTTCTGGTGCTGGTGCGGGGTGGCGGGTGCGGGATCTCTAGTCCTTAGGAATGCCGAGAACTACTTTCAGCTCTTGTTATTTTCCTGGCTGCTGCAGCACTACACTGTGCCAGGGAATACCTCTGGATTACACTGTGGAAAGACGTCTGAATGTCTCTGACTTAGATACATGCATTCATTCTTCCCATGCTGCATTTTCAGAGATTGGAATGACTCAAGAGCATTCCCACGTCACTGATTTTCCACAGAGGCACTTTCCCCCATGATCTTTCAACTTGGACATCGAATATTACTACCATCTCTTCTAAAGTTTTATGATGTCTTCACAGTGGTATGGAATGAAATGATCTAGTTATTTAAAAAAAATTATTTTAAAAACATTTTTGACATCCCCTAGATTGCAAGTAAAACACATGTAGAATGAGAAAGTGATCAGTAATGACTCATAACACCAAAATGAGACATGCTTTATTGCACGAAACCAAACTATGTTCTTACCATCCAAAGAGTCATGTTACAGGTAGGAAAGTCTTACCTTGCTGAAGTCAACAGTGCTGTTTTCTCTGCTCACATCATTTTTGGTTTCAGTGCTAGCTGGTGCAGACTGTGGGGAAACAATCTGACCTGCTGGAAAAAATGGTTATTACAGAATACTAACAATTGTCTGCATTAATGTACTAAAAGCAATCAATGGAAATCAGACTATCGTATGTGCTTTACATCTTGTACATGGGGGATAAAACCCAACAAATTTACTAACATCATACCATGTGCTGAAAATAAAAGTTGAACAAAGCTGTGTGTACCCCATTATACAAGAATGTTGATGTCATTGTGAACCAGGCATCACTATTCAACTTACATTTATTAAGTGGCCATCAGGGGAACACTGAAAACTGGATAAATGAAACGGGAATAAATCAGTTCTCAAGGCAGCTATCTGGTGACTGTCAGAATGTTACCAACATTAAAAACTTACACTGCAATCCTGCACATGTTGAAATGAACAAGTAAAACCTGGTTTGCATTCAGAGCTAAGCAGTGGTTAGGCCATGATCTGTTGCCCTACCTAGGGTTTGTCTGGCAGGCTAGCAAACAAGCATGATTTGTTTTTCTCAATAGCTGGATTGCCTGTTTCTCTTATCCTGTAGCTGCTCCCTCCCTGTATCTTAAATTGGCTTGGTGATGCTGCTGAACAGCAATTTTGTTAACCACACTTGCCCACTACCTAATTACAATCCACAATTCTGGAATCACACATGAAAACAACCCATGATTTAAACAAACCCAAGCCCACAAGCAACAGATTCTCTTTCCTGGCTCTTCATAGTTTCCAATTTACAACAACCCAGAATTCAGTAACCCATAGTAGGTTAAATCAGGAACAGGCATGTGGACCACATGGAACATGCAACTTCCACATTCTCCTAGTTCTCATCAAAGCACCCTGCAGATTTTGGGGCAACCCAAACTGGGAAAAATGTGTGGGGATGGAAACAGCATCTGTAGCTGTTGCAGAGCGCCCAAAGGGTGCTAGATTTACTTGCAAGCTGTATTTGACCCTTCAGGATTCCATAGCAGCTATGACAGCCTAAATTGCCAAAAGGAAGGAAGGAAGGAAGGAAGGAAGGAAGGAAGGGAAAAACATGGGGAAAAAATCAGGTTTCCCCATGGCGTGGGAACTGTGGGTGGGGTCCCAGGAGTGAAAATGGCTCCCAGACCTCCCAAAGTTGCCCATGCCTGGGTTAAATAATCCCTGGGTTAGCCTTATGTGATGAACCAGGTTTAAGTGTTCAATACTACTTACTCCCTAGTAAGTGTGTTTAGGATTGCAATCTTTAGCTGTCTATTAGTCGTTCCTTCACCTTAGCGAACACTGGGAATGTACATCTGCGTGCGTGGGTGGGTGGCGGGATTTATTACTGCAGTCACTAAGCCAAAATTGCCAGGAATTTTTAGGGAAGCCATGATAGTTAAAATGATACATGGATACAAGTGTGAGGAATCTAGTTAGATGGACCTATGGTCTGAGCCAGTCTTATTTAAACAGAAAATGTATGGACATACACCATACAAAGAACAGAAAGCTATTAAGACTTTATTTCAAATTACGTGTGTGAGTGTGAAAAAAGCCCAACTGTGTGCACATAATCGTAACAAATTCCATTCTGGCAGAGTTTGTCAGAGGCCCTGAGGATCAGGGGATTGACTAAGATAACCATGGAAAATGGCATGCAGGAAGAAACCGATGTAAAGGCATGAATGGACATCTGAACTGGCCTAGAGCCCATGCAAGACCGGTTTGTGGTACACTACCTCTGGAGCTTCAAGGAGCTTACAGAACCCAAAGGTTAGGAGATGAGGGAGATACAGAGATGAGATGAGCCTGTTAGAGACAGATACAACAAAGACAGAGCAAAATAAAGAAGGAGGAAGATGACTGCCGCTACAGCAGAGTTCAGATCACATACAGTTATTCATGGGCACAAGAACAGAGGTAGAAGGAAAGGTTGGCTATGAGGCGGAAATGGCCAAGAGTTACATGGACTTCACTTCAACACTATGGACTGTTTACATTTTTAATGACAGAAACAGTAAAATTGAAAAGGAAGAATGTACGGTCAAAAAAAGGGAGGGAGGGAGAGAAATAGTGAAGTCTCACTGCACTGCACATGGAGAAAAAAATATATCCCAATTTGATCAGATCAGTCAGAAATGACCTTAACTGTGCAAGAAATGCATAATAAGAATTACAAGCTGCAAGGAATAATTTTTTGCCTATTGATTTTTTTTTCAATATGTCTCAAATATGACATGTTACTGAACACAAGTGCCTCGGGATGAATCCTGATAAATTTTAAACCTGTTTAAGCACATGACCCATTAATTGCAGGGGTATATATTCCGGCTCAGCAGTTCACTGCAAGTCCACAATTAGTAGTGATGACTGATTTATAATCAATAATGGGAATCTGCCTGTACCTCTGGAAAGAAAAGGCATTTATATATGCTAACTATACCTGAATATTGCAAATAAATTAAATAAATGAAGGGTGAACGAGAGAGAAAATGTCATAGAAGAGTGGTCTAATGCAATACTGTCCCCTAACTCTGTGCTCAGTGTAGCACATGGGGGGCAAAGCCAATCTATAATCAGGGGTATGCCATGGCTGTAATGTTAATGGCCTTGGAGGGAAACATTAGGAATGATTTTAGACTACATTAGGAATAGCTTAAGATCATTACTCATGTTCCCTTCAAGAGTACATTAAAAAATCAAAGTTGATTTGCTTGATTGATTACTTTTGGAATAAAACTAATGAATGTGTTGTCACAGAGGCTATAAATCTGTATTTCAGTTGTACCATTTCAGGGTGCAGATATTGGCTTCCTCAATACAGAAAAGCCTTCTACCTGACATCCAGCTTTTTACATGCAGGGCTTTTGGATATGAGGATGCACCCAGACACATGAGCCATTGGGCCTACAGTCCGAAGCAGTAGTGTCCAGACAAAAGTTCAGCATCTCTGTATAACGGAGGCTCATGTCAGCCAATTAACACATTCGACTCACATCTTTTATGCTGCTAAAAGGGCTGTTCTATGATAACAGAACACAGAAGAGGACGACACCTGTTTCAGTTTTCTCAACATACCATGGTCACTGACGGAAAGTACAACTACACAAGCTTTAGGTACAACTGCATCCACTTTAAAACACCTGTGGTATGCACCTTAAGACATTTAGGGAATAATTCTATGCACATTTTGACCAAGAAATGTCCTATAATTCCCTCCATCCCAGCTAGCACGGCTAACAGGGACCCACTGGCAGTCATAGACTTGCTCTGTCTAAACATGCATAGGATGACACCCGTAAGCTGCAATCCTCAAACAGCTTACCTGGAGTCCCTTGATTTCTGCTTCACTAAGGGCTTTGTATTATGACACAACTACATCCCTATTTACTATCAAGTCTCTATAGCTAGACTTGACCCGATCTGAAAGTCTCATCCTTTCCCATCTCAGTCCCAAATATTTGCTGTGCCAATTGCTTGCAAGATGGTATAACAGAAGCCATTCCAGCTTAACATCACAAAATATTTATTTTACGTTTTTTCATAAATGTATGCTCCATCTCAAGTACAAAATGGCTTACAATTTAAATCAATAAAGGCCCCATCATATTTATTCACAACCCATCTGTAAAATCAAATATGCATCCCAAAGTGACCGTAAAAATAGCTAATAAAAACGGAGAAGAAAAATAACCTAGAGCAGATCCCTAAATTCTTGGCAAAAAGGGAGGGCTGTGCACTTCCTCCTGATGGCCTGTAGTGATGCCCAGAGGGCTGTCAGGTTTTACCAGGAATCCCATCTCAGTGGGAGGCAATCGGCTGTTTAGGGCTGCAACTCCCATAATGGCCAATGAGCAGGGATTACAGTCATCTAAAACATCAGAAAAGCACCAGGTCGCCTACCCTTGCCTTATGCTATGATTTCACTGACATTGCCAAGAAAGTCCAGTTTCTAAATCGCATAGCACTAACTTCCCAAAGTGGAAGGACCACAGCCTGTTGTCCCTCTGACCACAGTGGGATGAGGGAAAACAGATGGAGAAATGCTCCTTAACGTGATGCCAGATAGTGTTATGCAAGTGCAGCAGTGTGCAGATCTCTTTCAGGTTTCAATATGCGGAATAGATTCACCTAGGTTATATTTGCCAGCATTTCATCAAAGCCGCCAGTAATCACTACTAACAGAACATGACATTTTACCATTTTTGTCCATGGAATGAGGCTCGGACTGTTTCTTGCCGATATCAGCAAAGGACCTGACTATTGGGATTCTGTTACTCAGCTTCTTCTGGTTTTGGTGATGGTGCTGTTTGAGCAAAGCTTCGTGCACTCTGTGCCGAACGTCTTCGCTGAGCTGTCCGGAGCCTACTTGCTGATCAAGAATCATGTCTGAAAAGATGAAACATTATAGAACTCATTGCGTAAGGAGATTGTGACAAGCTAAACAGTATAAACACAAGAATCAGCCAACTTTGGATGGGCGCCCAGTTCAAAACTTCAACTAAAGAGATGAACCACTGATCACTCTATTTGGCAAGTGAGACTCCTGTGATGTTACATTATATTGCAGCCACCAGCAGAGGCAAATCATTGGTCTAGAGTGCAGGGATAGTCAGTATTATTATACAGCTTGAGCTTCCATAGCCCATTTCCAAATTTGCTCATGTAACTGATTAATTCAGCTAACCTTCCCCAACCTGGAGCCCTCTGAATGTGTTGGACTACATGCCCCAAAATCCACAGCCAGTAGAACTAGATGGAAGATTACTGGAGATATAGTTGAATGCATCTTTAGTGTATCATGCTGGGAAAAGCTGAATAAGGCTCTTGGCTATAAAATACCAATGGTTATATAACAACTAACTCCAGGACTAGAAATGTCATAGCCCAATGGAAAATAAATTAGCCAAGAAAGTATTAAACCTAACTGTCATGTTAATGATTTTTCTGGAAAGGCTGCACCCATAGGAGCAGCCTGAATATTATTTTATGTAGGATTGTATCTCTAGAGCTATAGGCATAACCAAGTGGCACACTGTATTTGGTGAAAATGGCAATATTTGAGGAATATTTGAATGAGTCCTAACACAACATCAGACTGTCTCACATTAATTGTTAATGTAGGCCCATGTATCATCAATAGGCAGACACTCAATTAACTTGCTTGTCTAACAATTCTTATCTTCTAATAAAACTAGTCATACTAGTTTGTTGCATGACTATCAAGACACTAAAAACAAACATGGATTTGACTTTTTCATAAGCCTTCCATGTAGGGTTGTAATGAGAGGAACCTTGTAGGGATGTAAACAGTGCCCCTCATGTCCCAGCACCTCTGTGTTACCTGGAGGCAAGCGATTCTTTTGGAACTGAAAAGCAATGAACACAATAGCATGGAAAGGAAAGGGGATTCATTCAGAGATAAATACAAAAGCAGAGAAGGTGACACCCCTCAGCAGACCCCTTCTGCTCTTGGGAACCTCAGATCATCCGGGTGGACTCCTTTTAGCCAGTTCACACAGTGCTCCCTCTGTGGCCCAGTCTGAGATGAGGTACAACCAATAATGAAATTCCCTCAACTTATACAGGTATAACACCAAAGCTTACACCTGGTGAGAGTGGGAATAGATGACAAAGTGCCTGTACAAGGTCAGGTAGCTGATATGAATATCTGACACTTGTCATTCCCCATCCCCAATCTCTCCTGCCACGCTGGTCCCCAGTGTAGTTATTCTTAACAATACTCCCAAAATATTAAGCGTTCGGCTTTTGCCTGACTTTGGGCATAGGATGGAGCAACTGTTAGCTCCTCGCAGTTACAACACTGTTACAACGCAGTTACAAAGCCTCCCATGAATGCCACCACAGCCTCCAGCTCCTGCTCAGGTCTTTGCCTGCTGACCTGTGGGACTCTGTAACTACATCCAGGTGGACGTATGTACTGAGCTCCCATAACCGGGAATTTGGCAGAGCTTCGTAAGCATGACTAGCCTGATGTGCTTGACAATCCACCCCATTCCGTGCTCAAAGATCTAAACAGAAGCCAGATATATGGTGATACTATTTCTAGAAAGAGTATCTATTTCTAGGTTTTAATGTACGCTGCTATTTAAAAAGTAACATGTAGATATTAAGTGAAGATGAAAACACCATATAAGACCTGCCCCCAAAATTCAGCTCCAGTTTAAAAAACATGGTCAGAAAACTGCTCAGACTTGGGTGAAGGGAAGTGGTCTTCATAGTTACTAATCTGCTGTCCAAATTTGGCACACTGATGATCAGTCACAAGGACGTTCTTGTTGTTCCAAAGATGGAACTACACATTCGGGGGATTCACAGGTCTCAGAACTAGCATCTCAAAACAGCTGCAAAAGAGAGCTGGAAAAGAGCAGCTTGGAGGAGGGAAGTGGTGGATTGGAAATGGGGACTCAACACTTTCCACTCACCACCTCATCTAGCTGTTGTGATTCCCATGGTGTCTTTCTGAGGAAAGACACTGAGGAAAATAGCTGGGTAGGATGGGTCTTTGAGGAAAAATCAGCAGCCCTGGGAAGAATTAATCAACCTCCCCATGTTCCACTTGAAATAGCTCCCTCTACTGCCATTTTGTAACTGTCTGATTGCATATTTGATTCTCAGTGATTCTCAAGCCTCCATCTGATGTCTACAGGAAACACAGAAGCAGCAGCTTTCATTTGCTCCTGTTCAAATATGCTTTCTTTGTAGTTCATAAATCAGACCATATAGGCCAAGATGATCATTTGTCTTCAAATGCCTGCACTCTGATTTTTCTTGTAATGATCATAAATGAATAGGAATAGTACAAGACAGTTTTGAGGCCAAGTTAGGCCACACGTATGAAAAGAGTGTAGGAGCTTTAAAACTTGTGAGCGCTACAATCCAATGACCACAGTGGGTATTTTCAGTCCATTTTAAATGATACAGTTGCACAGTAAAATCTGTTCCTCTACCTTTTTGTAACTCCGAGTTTGTAAATCAGGATTTCTCAGACTATTCAAAGGATCTTAGGGTCTCTACAAAAGATATCCAAGCAGCCTGACTTCATGAACATGTAAAATTCAGAGGAGAGCTGGATTTCTGCAGCCACTCTTTTGCATAAAGACACATTTTTCTGCTTGTAAAGGGGAAAGAGCCCCATCATGCTGTAGATTAATTGATACACTACAATTTGGGGAAAGATTGAAGATGGATGCTACTCAAAGACAATATTAAATCTTGTACTGCTAAACTTGTAGTTTAGAGGGAGGAGGGGGAACCTGTCTAATAACAGTAAGCCTTAAAAACAAAAGCACATTTTTAATTAAAACAAATGGGCTGCAAATGACTATATATATATGCAAGACAAGAAGCTGTGCCACACAGATCTTCTGACACAATCAGCATGAGTCACGAACTCTTGTATTCAAAGTGTTCAGGCAGTTCACCAGCTTTTTCTCCGAGCAATTTCACATCTCCCAGGAGGCCAGTTATAAAGCAAGAAGTGCACACCGATGCCAGAAACAAACATGAACAGTCGAGTTTTCAATACGTGTCACGATTAAGGGAATAGAGATTCCTTTTAAAAGCAAAGGGGGATCGAGATTAAAATACACAGTGCTCTACAGAGCAAGCCAGATGACACGTCAAGAGTGACTCAGGTTAATTACATGAAGGGGTTCCACGCAGCTAAAGGAGTGGTGAAGCGGCTGCCTCCAACACTGCAAAGAGGAAGGCTGCACTGTAAGCTTCACTGGGAAGCTCGACTGCAGGGGGTTCCAGCTGCCAAGGAGGTCTGTGAATGCCGCCTTCCCTTGTCCAGATGCCCACTCTCAATTCCTACCCATTGAGGTGCAAAGGCAGGAAGCTGCTTCATATTGGGGCAGGCTGAGGGTGCACCAGCACCAGCACCAGCTCCACCAGCACCAGCTTGAATTCCCTGCATGTGAGGACTCCATGAAGAGAGTAACTAAAGACCATCCACTGAATGCACTTCCCCCATGTTATTTGACTATTATTATTACTATGTCATCTTGCAAGATGTTTATGAACATGCAAGAACGGTTGCCTTCATGCCCTGTTTATGGTCATTTATAACTCTTCTATATTTCTATACTTGAAGTATGCTTTCCTTTTTTTGGCTTATAATATGGTAGGAATTAAAATATGGAAAATGTATGGCTAAAGTCCAGTACAGAGGCATAATTCTGTCTGTATAGTACGTATAGTCAAGGCTATGGTTTTCCCAGTTGGAATGTATGGCTGTGAAAGCTGGACCATAAGGAAGGCTGAGCCCCAAATAATTGAGGCCTTTGAATTGTGGTGCTGGAGGAGACTCCTGTGAGTCCCTTGGACCGCAAGGTGATCAAACCGGTCAGTCCTAGAGGAGATCAACCCTGACTGCTCTTTAGAAGGCCAGAACCTGAAGATGAAACTCAAATACTTTGGCCATCTAATGAGAAGAAGGGACTCCCTGGAGAAGAGCCTAATGCTGGGAACAATAGATGGCAAAAGAAGAAGGGGACGGCAGAGGATGAAGTGGCTGGATGGAGTCACTGAAGCAGTTGGTGTGAGCTTGGGTGGACTCCGGGGGATGGTGGAGGACAGGAAGGCTTGGAGGAATGTTGTCCAAGGGGTTGCGATGGGTTGGACACGACTTTGCGACTAACAACGACAACAACAAAACACTCATCAGGAAGACTAGAATTAAATCATGGTTTTCTATATAATCTGCATGCATGCCTCCCTTACACACAAGCAGAGAATCTTCACTAAAATATACCCAAACTGGGTCTCTTTTACGGCCTGTTGCCATTAAAGGTTTTCTCCTCCAGGGAAACAATAATATGATAAACCTCAGGCTAGACATAAAAACATCCAAAGACTTGAGTATTCTGCTCAAAAGGGGTCGTGTTCCGTTTTACTACTTGCCCCTCCATCTTACACTTAGCTTCTTGGGCAGATCTATTCCACTCCCAACAATCTTCTATTCATTGGATTTTTTTTAAAAAAACTTAGCACTTAAGAGGTAAGGGGTGGATTCTGTGTATATAGATTTGCAAAGGAACAATGGGATTGAGGTCTTTTTCTGAACTCTCTATGCTTATTTCATAATATTTTTGCTGTGAAGAAGAGGCATGTGATCTCTACAGACACACATTCGCAGTCTGGAGAACTGTAAAACAAAGCCTCTGTGATAACATCTTCTAGATAGAAAAATGCCCAGTAATCTTATAGAAACCTCTGGAAAAGCATGACATTGTGAATGGATTAATGGAATTGATTTACCAAAAAAATTAAAAACTACATGAATACAGAGCCTCATGCTACATAATTAAAAACTAATCCGTATTTCATGATGCATAACCTTTGGACTATAATGTATCTTAAATTGAAAACTATCTTTAGATTTTCCTCAAAAATCTTTTTATTAAAAATCTAATTTAAATCAAACATCCAATTTAAATTTAAAAAATATGATTAAATTTCTAAAAATTCATTTTTAATCATTGATTTTTATCATACCTGGTTTAATTTACAGATATTAAACAAGTATTGTACTTCTCCTTCTCAAGGCAGTTTATGCTATAAAATCGATCACAACATTACATCCATAGTAAATATAAATTTGAAGTAGAGTTAATAGCATACAGAGCCACATATGAGTGCCACTAAAAACCTTAAAATGAAATCATGGACACTGAGTTGCAAAAATGAAGGGAAGGAAAAGCAACGACGTATCATAGTATTATTTTGAAAGGCCTGGTGTTCACAAACAGATTACAGAAAACATTCCTTGTATTGGTGCCTACATACCTTTTCAAGCAACAGCAGGGATTCTAGACTGGAGAATGGTTTGCAAAGTTATTGGAAATACAGTATCGTCATTTGGCTAATGCTGAGTGACAGATACCTGGCAGTGATCTAGAAAGGCCAGGATCTTGGTACAGTCTGACTCATTCCTGCTGCTGGAAGATCTCGGAATTGCATGCTAGAAGTATGAACAGTAATCAGCTTCCCAAGTGTTCCAGCAGTTACAGAACCCAAGCAGGATGAAACAGATTTACAACAAATGATAAAAAAAAAAAACCTACACAAGAAGCTTCTTTGAAACCAGCAAGTAGCCATAATCACATATCTTTCCACACCCGCATAATTTTTTTAAAAAAATTATGGGACTATTTCCTAAACTAGACTTCTCCAACCTGGTCCCGAATGATCAAATCACTTTGACCAAAATGCACATCTGTTAAGAAGGATGTTTCCACTGAGTTCAGTTGGACATACGCCTGTGGGAGCATCTATAGGATTGCAGCCAAACAGATCAAAGGAAGAATAGGATAAAAAAGATCAAAGGAAGAATGTGCACAGAATATATTATGATGGGTGAGTTCCAAACATCCTTGCAAACAGTTCTGGGGAGTCTTGCTAATCAAACAGCTGTGTTCACCTAGCTGCGCATAAGCCCTCTTTTAGGATTGAGGAGATTTGCAAAAGCCATTTGTGATATGGCATTGAGGGGAGAGGCATCTGTTATCCTAAGGGGAAAAAAGTCAAAATCCCACTGGGGATGCCCAGTCTCTTGGTCAAATTAAAAACTTGCACAGATTTCAGAGAATTATGAAAAGACTAGATAACCCAATATACTGTCCTTTGAACAATGTGTCATTAGTACAATATCTTGTTTCCTGAATTTTTTTTATTTAAATGTTTGAAAATTTTTTCTAGCTGCAAATCTACTTCCTTCAGGCTGTAATACTATATTCAGCTTACCTGGGAGTATGTTGCATTGGCACCAAAACTGGTACCTTCTGCCACCACTCATGGTGAGCAAATCTAGTCTCCTCCACCTCCAAGTGCTCTTGGTCACTTGGGAATGACTGCTTTTTTTGAATCATTCTTCTGCATTTTTTGTTCGAAATGTAACTACTGAATAAACTTAACTTGAAAAAGCAGAAACATAAAACATAATTCAGAAGTTTGTCTGGTTTTGAGATGTGAGATTTTCCCGGTGTGAACAAGGAAACTCTAAAGCACAGAATGCCACTTAAAGACTCAGAACCAACTCATAATGTTGCAGCATCATGTGAAGGAGGACAAAAAGCTATTCAAAAATCCACAAGGTGCCCAGTACAGGATGCAAAGAGATTTTCAGTGTTAAGCATGCCAGGGAAGAGGGCATGTTTCACTTAGGAGCTGTGATATTTAAATTGTCCCTCAGAAGTATCGAGAGAACATGCACGTTCTGCTTTTGTACCCTAGCAGTGCAATGCTATCCATGTCTACTGAAAAGCAAGTCCCTTATTTGTTAATGACATTTATAAACTGACTTATTTGCTAATCATAGTGGGGTCTATGAACATGAGGACTTACACACATACACAGTGTAATACTCCCCTCACTGGCTAAGTTAGCACATCCTGATAAGTAATTCTGCATGGTCCCTACATTTCATGAGGTGTTTTTTTTTACCTCAAAGTATCTGACAGATGATCAGGCTAACACTCCCCCCTCTTGCTATTTCCTTCCCACTCAGTCCTCCAGGCAGTATCCTAGAAGACACCACAGGAATGAGGAATGAGGCTCCTATCCTTGGCAGCCATGATCGTGAGCCGAGTTCAGTTCACCATAGCCGTCAAGCGATCCCTGTTGAGTCATCAGGGCTCATGCTCTGAAGCACAGCAGAGAGGACGAGGAGCTGATCAGGCAAAAGGGAGGAAAATCAGCCGATCAGCACTGCAGAAAGGCACAATTGCCAAGTGGCTCTCTGCTTCTAGCCTTGGAACCACTATCAGTTATGTTCTCTGGGTTTGGATGTCACAATGAGCCGTTTCTGGCCACGGTTTCTAAAAACCAAATATACCACCACTGAAATAATTCAACAGTGTTCAGATGATCTAACAGACCAGCAATAGTAAAGAAGAACCACAATGGTTTGTTCTGTCATATGAACCCACCCACTCCCTAAGCTCCTTGTAGAAATGCAAGTAAACATTTTCTATGGCAGTCAAAGGATGACTGGAACCACACAAAAAGCGGGCTCCGCTGGTGTGCCTTCTCTCAGATGGCTTCCATCTTTAAAGTGACTGACAGAGTCTCTGCACTGGGACTTGATAATGGTTCATGAAACAGGAGGCTGTGGTCAGCTTGTTCTAAGGGCCAGCATGCAAGTAATGACAGGCGTAAGCTCTCAGGGGTAGGCAAGTGCTCCAGGTTTACACATAATGCTCAACCACTGAAGGTTGTTTGGTAAAAGTAGAAGTTGTGGGTGTGCAGAAGGCAGTGCACTTGCTCTCTCCTGTTTGTGTGTGCCAGCCCATGGGTTGTTTAAACCCTAGTCTGTTGTTACATGCAAATGAGGTCTAACTCTCCCAGATTTTCCTCATTTTCTAATGTTTCCATCATCACCACCACCACCACCATCATCCATGTGACTTCTCTTCCATTCATCCAAAATATTCCGACCATATCTTTACAAAACACACCCTTCCGGTCTTGGCCTGGATCGTCTCTGGATGGAAGGCTCCTAGCACCAATAACAAAAAGGCATTGTACTGCAGTGGGGTGAGGGTGGGGAACCATATGAAGGGATATACAATTCTACTTGTTGCTTCATACCCATGCATGCCCACTCACCAGCAATTTCTTCTAAAGAATTGGCTCTCATGTCTAGCAACACTGTGCCATTGAGGATACAACTTCTCAGTTCAAACAAGCTATGAAGTGACAAAGTGGCAACGTATGGTTTACTCCACCTCTCTCCTCCATCTTCTACATCTTCTTCAAACTTCAACCACCTAAGCAAATGAAAGAGTTTGGTCATCTTTTTCCAACTGAAAACTGAAAAACCAGTCATGCATGTGCAATAGTGAAGTCACACAAAGAGTACCCCACCCCTTTTACACACACATGCATACACAGAGATTTTTGGAAACCAGCAGCAATTTCACTGTTCCTTCTCTGGGTCATTTCTGACTTCTCTTCATAGGAGGTTCTTCAATCCTGAAGAAAGAGTTATTAAGCTGGCGGCGGGGGCGGGGGGGGGTATTTTTCCTCTGAAATGACAGCCCCTTCTGCTCACAGGTTGGAAGTCTGTCTGGAACAGTGGGAGTTCTGGGGATAGTCATAGTGGCTAGAATATGGATTGTTTATAGGGGCATTTGGAATAAGTCAGTTCTGCTTGTCTTTCATGGACTGTCGGGTATCTTTAATTCAGTTGCTCATTCATTGAGAAAACTGAATTTTTTGTACAAGAAGTTCATTCATTTGCAAATGTGCATTTACGCTAGTATGCAAATTCTCCCAACCAGTAATAAACAAAAACCAGTCTGCTGGTTTACCAAAGCTGCGTGCCTTGGGAGAAGCCAGTCTGCCAAGGAATCTGCAGGTCAGATTCACAGAAACAGAAAGTAATTTGAATCCCTTGCAGATTCTCAGCTATCCCCATTTATTTGTTACAAGGATTATCAAGATAACATGCATGAGCGGGGGTGGGGGAGTTATATAACTGCCAAGCATTATTAAATCAGCATTTGTAACCTGATTGCATTTTACTGTGTGCTCAAGAGTTCCCCCACCTCCTTCTCACACACTTATATTTATGGGTCAAGTTGCTAGCAGGAGAATAGAACTCATATGGAAAGCAATGTGCTATCATTATTCTGGCTCCTGTGCTTTCTTCATATACATATTGTCAGATGTGATGGGAGCAGATCATGGAGAAGTTGCTCCTTCCCTGCTGACTTAAGGGATGAATCAGACCAGAACCCTTCTTTGAAGCTTGGACAGAATGATCAGTTTTCTTCACTTACCTGTTGTACTTGCCCGCCAATGAAAGTTATAGCAAATGCCTTCTCTTCCTACGAACTTCACAACAGTACACATTAACTGATAGGCATATGAATTAATGATACAAATTCACGGGCTCTTTGGCTGCCTATATTTTGAGAATCAATAATGGAGAGCCAAATCATTTATGCTATAGAACTGAGCAGAACAGATTTTTGGCAAATCAAGTGCTTCTGGTTATGACAGAGCAATTTGTTTTTCTACTATGGCAATGTTTTTTAGCTCTGATCTGCCCCCTCTCCAGCCTTATGATACATGTGAACAGTATATTTCTCACAAAAAGGCATAAATTTCATGTCAACCACTCCCTACAGATAACTACACCATTATAAAACAGAATAGATTGATACCTTCCAGTTAATTATCACTGAATATCAGGTTCATGATATTTTATGTATAATGCTCTTGAAGTTACTGTGAAGTTCAGCGGAAATTTGTAAAATCACAGGCAGCTGCCCAGGTGCTTAAAATGTTAGACAGAAATACACAAAGGAATAAAGAAGGAAATTAGGCAAGAGAAGCAACCTGCTGTAAAATATGGCAATCTGAACAAGGAAATTAGAAACTTGACATAGGTTCTGGAAGTTAGATGAAGGAAGAGTGATTCTAGATGAAGGAAGAGTCCCTAGACATTGGGGTGGAGGGGGGCACAGGATCCTTCAGATTCCCAGATCCAAGGTTAGGTGTAAAATTCCATCCTGAGAGATGGGAAACCACAGTTCGATCCACCCCACTTCACAGCTAATGCTGAATGAATCACACAGCTGCCTTTCCAAGATCAACCTCAACCTCAGGGGGTAAAGGAGGTGCTCTTGCGGGAAGAGGGTGAAAAGATGCAGAGGCCAGGATGCAGCAACCCTGCATCTTCTTTCCTTTCTCCAAAGCACCCTGACTAGATATCAAAAATGCCCATCTAGCAAAAATAGATCCCATTAATAGAGGTCTCAGTTACAAAAATCAGCAAAGCAACAGTGGCTGAGGCATGCTGGAAGTTGCTTGGAGATTTTTTTTTCTTTCTAAGCATACCCAGGATTACACTCTTAGTCATATTTTCTGTGTTCCCTTTAGCTACATTGACTTGCTTCCTAGAGGTACTGAACTTCAGCCAATGCAAAGCTGCAAAAGCAGGATTTGCTAAACATGTTGTTAGATGATCAGTCTCCGGTCTCCAGCTGGTTGGGACAAAGAAATGGTTCACCTACTGGCCAAAGAGGAGTTGACCTAGGAACATCAGCCTTCTTTTTTTTTTTTTAAAGAATCCAAAATTCACAACTGGGCAAGGCCTTCTGTAGGGCAAACCAAAACACCACATAAGAAGTGTGCAAGGTTTTAAGACCACCAGAAATCTTCATCAGGCTAGATTGGTATTCTTAATCTTTTTTTCACTCATGGCCCCCTTCTGAGCTCCTGTGACCCTCCTCATATCCGCTGTTAGCTGGGGAAAAAGGTGTTTTATTGTTTATTAATCTAGACTGTATCGTATGGTTGGTTTCTAATTAATATAAAATTTCATTGCTTACAGACAGCCCTTTTCAGTAGGATAATTATTGTAAACTGTAGTAATTTTCAGTATTGATGAGCACAAGAAAGACTTGAGAATTATGACAAATTGATCCAATGCCTGACAGTTAAGTTTGCGTGGTCCTCTCAGAAACTTATTGTGCCCCCACCCTGGAATATGGCATGGCCCCTGGGAGCCAATGGCCCATGTTGAGAACCACTGGGCTAGATATACACAAAGCAGGAACTAGCAGGAGGAAAAATAAGTGAAAAGAGTAGACCAGATGCACCCATGAAGTCCGCAGCTTAGACTTAAGCAGGAAACTACAGACTGAATTCATTAGTCATGGGTAAGTGTTCAAGTATCAGGTGTTCAAGTATCAGATTATACCTAGGCTGGAACAGAGGAGCAATGACTGACCGCTTTTTCTGAAAGAGCTGGCTGTAACTCGGATCTATCTCTTGCCTTCAGCAAATACACAGGGAGGGTTGGCAGAGCAAAGAAATACAGAGAAACATAATGGTCTTTGGATTATCGAAATCAGGGATTACTTTTAGGTGGTGCACTAGGCAAAAAAGTGAATTGAAGCCAAATTGAAGCCAAATAAATAATAAGCAAGCAAGCAAAGCTAGTATTAACTAATGCTTTGCTTGCTTGCTTATTTATTTATTTACTAAAAGAAAGAAGCATCAGTACAGAGAGACTGTAGATGCAAAGGTCAAGAGGGCTCAAGTACCTTTAATTTTTATTAAGCAAAGATCATTATACCAGTGGCACTTTGCCATGGAGGGGTCACAGAAAATCTTGACATGCGACCCGTTCAAAATCACAGCTGCGCTGATACTGGACTCCTTCTCGCCTTTGCCTCTGGGTACCCAAGAGCGATGAGAAACATCGAGACGGAAGGTCAAAAAATTAAAGATGAGCCTAATCATAATCCTTTATTTTATTTCTATACCATCTAAAGCTCTCTGGGCAGTATATTGCTGGTTGATTAGAGTAAGTCATGGGTCAGAAAAACATGGGACTCTACTGAGTTAGACCACACCAGCCATTGATGCCCACCACGTTCTGTTGCTTTTCAAAAGAGCTAAGAGGAAGGGTAGGCTAACAGCCAGCTCCGTGTCCAAGGCTAGCTAGCAAGCCACGTGGCTCAGCAGCGAACTGAGCCTAGGCTTCCCACATGCAACACAGTGTTCCACGTGGTCCCAGAACTCAGCCAACAGACCATGATGACCTATTTTTGTTACACGCACGCACGCACGCACACACACAACCATAGTATTTCCACTTAGGGATGATTTGTTAAACATGACTGGGAACAGTGGTCCAGGTGTAGATTTTGCTCTCGTCTTCTAAAACAAGCAACAAGAAAGGGTCAGTTTCCTGTGAGTGTTCATCTCACTTTGGAATACGAAATAAAAACTTGTGATGAGCAAACCTCACATGAGCTCTGATAAAAATAAAGCTGAACCAACTACGTGATTTATTTTTTCACCACATTTCTGTACTGACCAACAACTAAAGTTCTCTGATTAGTTTACATTAAATTACAAGTTTTATTGTTTCATACAAAACATGCAATTGTTTATTGTTATGGCAGACTTTCTCCAAAAGAACTCATAAGCAAAGATTTGAAAACACAAGAACCATATGGGGTATGTTAGGCTGTGAAATAATGTTTTGCCTAAGAATATCAAGCAGAACAGCACACTGAGAATATATTTATTAGTTGAGAGTAAAGAATACCATCCTTTGCTTTCCCGAGGGTTAGCAGATCAATGCCCGCTTTACTGGAACTCTGCTGGATTTAGGATTTACCCTAAAAGCTTATTATTTCAGGATTAGTGCTGCATAATGTGTTATGTAATATTCTTCTATCTTATTATACTAAATAGCAATCATTCACTACATTATGTTATCTAATCGGGAACAAGCAGGTTCAATAAAAAGAATCACAGGCAACATAGGTACATTTCTATCCTTGCTATTCTATGGAGCATCAGTTTAAATCCAGTTTACAATCATATTGCCTCTTTCTCATTTTCTGTGGGTGGTCTTGAAATAATTTCAACATTTTCAGAAGAGAGAGAGTGAGCCTAAGGATCTTTTGTATTAATACAGCTACTAGTTGCCAATTCCATTATTACTTTCCCTACATTGACATAATGACCTACAAAATGTTCAATCCAGTTGGAGCATCTGGTTTTGAGCAAAGACATGTGTTGCAGAAATGGATTTCAATAAGAGGCTTGGTCTGAACCTAAAGGGCCATTTTGGGTGCCAGTGTCTTTAAACATTTCCACGCAGTTCTTGGAGTGCTGAACAAAATGCCTCACGGCAAAATACTCACCTGGCAGTCTCCCTCCACTCGGCATCCTCGCCTTCACGCCAGCAAAGCTCATCCAGTTCTGTGAACAGGTCGTGTGGGATGTGCTCCTCATCGTCATCTTCTGTTCCAAGAATGAACTGCACTCTCTGCGAAGGGGTGTCTGTGTGGCAGGACAAAGAAGGGAAACCAAGACATTTTACCAAAGAGGTGAAGTGGCCAGTACAGGGATTTGATGAGGGTATAACTTACAAAACACCTCTGAAGCATTTAAATGTCAGTGTTGGTGGCTGCAGCTGGATTCTTTTGTTTTGAATAAGCAGATGTAGTAAGAATGTGACAACATTACACAGCTGTCTGTTATCCATATAATTAACTTTTATAAGAAGGTATATAGCACGCAGTAAAACAATCACACCTTGTCAATTCAGTCATGCTTTAATGCATATTCTCAAAAGCTCCAGGCAGTATATTGTCACAGATTAAGCTTTCTTCTCTAAAAATTAAGATAAACTCATCTTAAATTGATCACACACATACCACTCCTTCAACATAGTAATGTGTCCTCCGGATATAGTTACTGCTTAGGTCTATCCTTATCCCTCCTTATAACTAAGCCTCCCTCTCTCTACACACACACACACACACACACACACAGTCTTCCCCTGTTTACCCTCACATGCCTTTCCTCTGTTACCTCCCCGTGCTGATTTTAGTTTGCAAACTCCTTGGGACAGGATGCCTTCCTTTCATTACCCTGGAAGGTGCAATTGCATATTGGTGGCATCAGGAAAATGAAGAGCTGGCCATGATGCTGAAGAAAGGATTGACTGTTCATGTGCAATAGTTATTTTTTTAAAGGAACTAACAACCTGCATTGATTTCATTTGATTTCATTTTACCATTGAAAAGGCATTCAAACGAACACATTCACTAGTTGCAACTGCAGCCCGGCTAGAACAGCCTGTACAGGCAGAGAGGGGGCAGTGGGGGGAGAGAGAAGGGGAGAGCAGCAAGGCTACCGTATTGCCTTTTCATGCTGCATACATGAGGATGCTTTGTCCTATTCTCTTTGAAACTTGGCCAAAATGACCTTCTGGACAGAGAGTCATAGGTTGGGAAAGCTGCAAAAGTATTTCTGTGCAGTGGATGACACAGAAGTTGCAGCCAACCTAGATCAGCTGGGTTTCCTGTGAAAGAAGTGTACGCTTACAGAATGTGCATTTCTCAACAACAGGGGCCCTCTTTCCAGTCTGCCTGAAATCTGGCAAATCTGTAGGGATATACTTGACAATGTAATGCCAATAGAATAGAAAACACTAGTTAGAAAAATGAATGAACAGGTTCCAAAACAGTAACTAAAGAAATGCAGTTAACAAGAAAAATGAATGGGATAACTAAATTATTTTCCTTGTATACTGTAGCTGAATATATATTGTGAATATATTTCCTTCAGTAGAGGTTTTTCAACAAGGGCTAGATGGTCATCTCTCAGTAGCAAATCTCCTCTGTGTTGATGACAGGTTGAACTAGGTGCCCCCCGAGTTCCTTTCCAACTCTATGAATCTGCTGCCTAAAAGATGATATCTGCATAACGACTTATAATGCTGGCGCTGGTTGTATTAAATAACATAAAAGAACAAGCACGCATCATAGTGCTTCCTGCTTTCTGTTATTTGGATAATGCAAGGGATTATTATTAGCTTTATTCCTCCAAGTCAGTTGCAGCAAGAAGGCAAATCTCTTTCCTCATTACATTTTTTAATAGAATCTGCATTCTTGGGAAATGAATGCAGGAAGACGGCTGCTCTTTCTGCCACTGTGCTCCACAGCTGAGAGAATAACCAGAAAGCTTTCTTGAGTGCACACAAGCACCATACTGGCATTCAAGGGGGAGACCGATTAGTAGGCGGGAACATTCAGCCATGCTTGTGCTGCAGTCTAACTAACATGATGCGTTAGCATTGGATTCTTGGTGCACAAACTACAAGAGGCCACTCTCACTCAACCCATATAGTTTCGTGCATTTAATACATATATTTAGGGAAGCAAATGGCTACTTGGAGATAAAGAACAGATTCTAAATGGGTTCTTACGCCCCACCAACTGCCTTCCACCCACCAGTTTTCTTCTGCTGAATCCACTGATTAAACAGGACCTGCCACTGATGCAAGGGCAGGTCCTTTGATCCTATGTTAAAGGAATCTTTGAAATGAGAGCAAAAGTTTGATTCTCAGATCAGTGGAGCTCCTTCAGTGTGTTCTGCTGATCTGCTTCTTTCCAGAAATGAGGGTTTCCAATTATTTTTCAGTTGCTTCAGAAGTCCTAAATCGATGTTGCACAAGTGGTGTGCAACAGAATTGGCAGGGCACAAGAGAATCAGCACAAGCACCCCATTGGATTCTATCCTTAGAAATAAGCTCATGAGGGTGTAAGAAGAGCCTTGATGGATCAAATCAATGAGTGCAGTATTCTGTTCTCACAGCAGCCGGACAGAGAAAATGTAGATCCCTCCAGAGCAGGAAGCATTTCTACCTCACTGACAAAGCCTTCTCTTTGCAAGATTCAGCCTCATTTTTATAGGCCCTCACCCAGTCTACCACTTCACCTGAACATTGGTCTAAGATTTGCATGGCCTCATTTAATTCAGACTGGTATTTCGTGCCCAGTTGATTTGCGTCATCCAAAAGCGCCTGCATTTGCCCTGCCACAATCCTCTCAAGAACCGTCGCCTTAGAAGGAGCATGTGCCATGGCCTGCATACATTCAGTCAGCAGGAAACGAGCTAGCCTGTTGTCAGGTGCATGACTGGAAGCGTTCTGCTCACGTCTTTAGGCTGCACCAAATGAAAGTGACTCCTCGCAATTGGGCTAGACGCAGAACTGGCATCTCATTTGGGTCCGCCACAGTAACACTGTCAAGGTCACTGCAGAAAAAGGGGCAATTAAATTCAGGGTGATTAGCAAAAAGATCACCCTGAGCTTCTGATGAATGCGAACCTCCATTCACAGATGTTAACAAACCCCATTCCACTCTGGGTGGCTACCTGAGGATGCAATGGAAGCACCTGCATGCAGTTCTCATAATTGTACCAAAGAACATAGTAGAGTTAGAAAGAGTGCACAAAGGCACAACTAAAACCACCGACAGCCTGGAGCAACTCCCTGGTGATGAATCTGGGACTGTTTAGGTCCGAGAAAGGGCGAGCAAGAGGAAACATGATGGGAGTTGTACAAAATTATTCATTGTGTACATAAAGTAGACAGAGAGACATTTTTATCCTCTAAAAATAGCAGAACCTGACATTACCAAATGAAGCTCACTGGAGAGAGGTTCAACTCACACAAAAAGAATTGTTCTTTACACAGTACATAGCCAAACTATAAAATTCACTTCCACAAGAGATTGACTGGGCTCACATGACCTGACAAACAACCCTGTGCTGTTTCCACAATGTGCAGATTTTGCCCCAAGTTACCAATGACTGGACCGTGTGGTCACCCCAGCAGCATGGTCTCCATGTTCACCACTGTCATTCCAGCCTCACTATGCATCCCGGCAGCTTCCTTAGGCAAAATCCTGTCCCTTCCCTACTCTCACCTATGGACTGCAGCAACCTCCCACTAAGATCCACTGTAGTCCTGAAGCACTCCCCCTGGCCTAACCCCCGCCGAGTGTACATTTGTGTCTGCAGCATTCTCCAGCTCCAGAGCCTACAGAGATGTTTAAGAAATGGAAATAAGCAGTGTCATGATGATTCCCCCCATCTCCCCCTGTGTATGTTCAGATTGTGTTCTGTTTCCAAAAGTAAACAAGGAGAAAGACTCATTATTCAGCCAATGTGAATGAAGTGAGTATGACACACCTGCTAGGGAAATAAAGACAATGCAGTCAAAGGCTAGAAGCAGCCTCTTCCACAGTTGCTCTTGCCGGGCACTCTATGATGTTTCCATTCCAAAAATGATGACCAGCCCTGCGTCTGGATGACTAAAGAAGCTGTAGTGAAATGTAGAAACCTTACAACAGATTTCTGGTTCTCTCTGTGGTTTCAGAAAACTAATCCTACTCTGCAGGAACTCAGGAACCAGGTCCAGATGACAGACAGCCAACAATGGTAGGATTTCACCATGGCTTCTCATGTTATGCAAACTTGCCCATCATGATGGCCACCACTTTGGATGGCTTCAAACGAAAATGGATACATTCGGAGACGATACAGCTGTCAATACCTACTTCTTTCACAAGCTATATACGAGTGATTTCCAGTTTCAGAGGCAGTAAGTCTAAGTTGCTGGAAAACAAGAGTGAAATGGGGCTATTGGACTCAAGTCGTATTTGTGGGCCTTCTCAGACAGCAGGTTGATCACTGTGTGGATGAAAATGGTGGACTAAACGGAGTTTGCTCTGATACAGCACGGCTCCTCTCATGTTCTTGACAAATGAATCACACCTTTTCCACTGCCCTCGTTGCCATTGTAAGAGGCTCTCATTTGTGCACTACCAAGAGCTCATAGCAAGAATTGCACCATTTTGAATGCAGACATCACTTCCCCTAGCAACTCATACTGAAAAACATTCCACCTCCACTACTGGAGGCATTTAATAATTATCAGCATTATCACTACCATGGGTCTAAAATATTATGCACTGAATTTTTAAAATAATATTAAAAAGCTCAATTTTTATGGACTTTCTAGAAGCATGTGTTACATTGGCCTTGGGGATTAAGTTTAGCATGTTGTAAAATTCAGTGTTCACTGATACATGCATTTCCATATTATTAGGTGCCTTAACTTGTCCAGCTGGAACTGTCAACCACTTATTCATCAAAGGCAACGCCTGTATATATGTGCTATTTTTATGAACAAAAAAGACGGGGAGTGGGGCAAAGAAACCCAAGCAGAACATTCAAGAGAGAAGGATCCTCAGCAAGGTCATACTAAATCATTATTATTGTCAATTTGCAAGTGTCTGGGACATTCAATTTAACCGGCATAAAGGTTTATATAGAGAAACTGCATAGAAAATGCTTGCTAATTGGCTTGATAAACACTGAGGATGCCTGTGTTCCAAGAAATATCATAAGCCATCAAGCAAATATATGCAGGAGCTATGTAATTTTACACTGAATGTCCATTTTTGTTTTGAAAAATTACAGAACAT